AAACACCTTATACATCTATGTACAAAAGCCAACTTAAAAAAAATAATCTAAAAAGTGCTAAATGAATGCTTTATATTTCCGCATTGAATATGCAGCACCAAGAAAACAACGAAAAGCACGCAAAGCGAGAGAGCAAGACGAGGTTCTCATCCGATCAGTTTGCCTGTGTTCTGGTACAATTAAATCAAGTTGTCCTGTATTCAACTGCCGCTGTTTCTGCATTGTAACACTGGTGGAGGCGCTGGGTACATGTTCAGGAAACCTGATAACAGCCCCGCATCTAGTCCAGAAAGACTTCCGCACATCGACACCCCCGTTCACCGCAGCAGCCGCCACTTGTTAGGCCTCAGCCCGGAGTTCGGTCCATTGCTGGAAAGCGTGACTGTGCCAGAAAGCATGACGGCGCCCGGAAGCACTGGCCCCAACATGTCCAGCCCAAGCACGACACAGGTGACTGTTTTGAACACTCAACTTTCGGTTGACTTCCACGGAAACACATATGAGGACGCACATGACTGGCTCGACGTATTCGAGCACACAGCGAACGTTAACGGGTGGAACGCCACACAGAAATTGGGCTACGTGTATTTCGCGTCTCAAAATGGAGCCCGAACATGATTTATGAATTGCGTGTGGTCGTTTTGGACGAGTTCCAGCAGAAGTTCCTCGATACGTTTGCTAGCATTGAAAGACGAGAAATCGCACAGCGTCTCCTCAAGTCACGGATTCAGAAACCAAATGAATCCATTTTGATGTTTACATTACATGGCACGGCTGTTTCGTCAAGCAGATCCCAATATGCCCGAAACCAAAAATGTTACCCACCTCATGCGTTGCGTTAAGGAGCAGCTGTTTGCTGGTCTTGTGCGAAACCCGCCTACAAGTGTTGATGAATTCTCCAATGAGGTGACATCCATCAAACGCACACCGCATCTACGCTACCGGCAGTATGACCACCCAACCCACAGTGCACCAACCAGCGCGGTAGCCACGACCACAGCAACGACACCCGACGAAGGTTCTTTGCGCCAACTGATACGAGAAATCGTACAAGAAGAGGTCAAGAAGCTCGTCGCCAAACCGAATGACTGCGCGATTGCTTCAGTAACAGAAGTTGTGTGCCAGGAGATCCGGCAAGTGCTCTCGCTTCCCGAGTTGAACACAAGCACCCCCAGGGCAAACTATGCAGACATAGTCCGCCGACAGCCAGCTAACATACTGACACCGCATCAGTACTACCAGCAACATCCGCTGACACCGCCTTGGTACTACAGAGAAACTTCGACGCCGAAGCGGCCACCACTTCGCAAAACTGACATCTGGCGTACCCCTGACAATAGGCCCCTGTGCCTTCATTGTGCGGAAGCAGGCCACATCATTCGGTATAGCCCGTATCGCGTCGCAAAGTACCAAACCTTTTCTTCCACTGTTCCTCGGCGCCATTTCAACAAAACACCTGACGTTGACACAAGTGTCATGACCCCGCAGGATGTTCCTCCTGGGTTTCGGTCACGCTCACCCTCTCCTGGGCGTTATTCTCCATCCTCTAGACGGAGCACCACTGACATGCCAAGAGGGAGATCTCCCAGTCCACGCCGGGGAAACTAAAAGCAGCGACCTCAGGTGGGAAGGTTGCAAACCGTGGAAGTGTTGAAAATCCCCCAATACTGCCAAGCAAATAGACACAGATTTTCAATGATTCGATGAAAGATGGGGTTGTTACTGCCGAAGTTGCAATTACGATTGACGGGCATGACGTCACGGCAGTGGTCGACACTGACGCGAACTTCTCAATAATGAGTGAGAGTCTCGCAGGCATGCTCAGGAAAGTTAGAATGGAATGAACAGGACCGCACATTAGAGGAGCTGGAGGGCAGCTACACAAACCTACCGGAAAGTGAACCGCAAGAATGAAGATAGGAGACGCATCCTTCACCACAACTTTCGTTATCAGGAGTTTCCTTGGCCTATGCGCATACTACCGAAGGTTTATTGCCGATTTCTCACACATAGCCTCGCCGTTAACTTGACTCACAAGAGGAGACGTTTCGTTCATATGGGGCGACGATCAACAAGCGGCATTTGACGATCTTCGACAAAGCCTGCAGACACCGTCTGTGCTTGCTCACTTTGATGAGGACGCTCCTACCATGGTTCACACAGATGCCAGTAACGTGATTTTAGGCGCTGTACTCGTCCAGTGGCAAGACTCAGCCGAGTGGGTGATCACATATGCTAGTAGGACGCTTTCTTGCACAGAATCCAACTACTCCACAACGGAAAAAGTGTGTCTTGCTGTCGTATGGGCGGTTATGAAGCTTCGTCCGTACCTCTACAGTCGCTCTTTTCACGTAGTCAGCAACCATCATTCCCTCTGCTGGCTGACCAACTTGAAAGACCCGTCTGGTCGGCTCGCACAGTGGAGCTTACGCCTTCAAGAATTTGATATGACGGTCATGTACAAGTCCGTAGGGCAGCACGCCGACGCCGATTGCTTATCAAGGTCACCGATAAAGCACGACGATGACACAGAAGATGACAACATGGCGTTTGCAGGAGTCGTCGACACCACTACGATTTCGTGCAAGCAGAAAAAAGACAGTCAGTTGCTTCCCCTTATTGAATTTTTGAATAGCTAAACAACAACCGTCACTAGAATATTTTCAAAGAGCCTGCCATCATTCTGCTTACGTAGAGGTGTTCTCTATAAGAAGAACTTTTCTCCCGGAGGAATCATCCGCCTACTTGTCATCCTAACGTCAATTTGTGAGGAGATACTTAGTGCTTGCCACGATGAGCCAACGTCCGGTCATCTCGGACACACGCGCACATTAGCCAGAATCCAACAGAAATACTACTGGCCAAGGCTTCCAGCTATTGTGAAAAATTACCTGCTCACATGCCTCGATTGCCAACTACGAAAATCGCCACCGTTAAAACCAGCTCAACTATTACAACCAATTCAAGTGCCCCAGTACCTTTTGCCCAAATTGGAATGGATCTCCTCGGACAATATCCGACTTCCCATGCTGGCAACAAGTGGGTAATAGTCACCACTGAGTATCTCACGCGCTACGCGGAAACAAAGGCTTTGTCAAGTGGCACCGACATTGAAACCGCACAATTCTTCATAGAAAATATCGTTTTGAGGCACAGTGCTCCGACAATCATAATAACGGATCGAGGTACCGCTTTCACGGCCACGCTCCTGAAGACGGTGCTTGAGCTTAGTGGAACAGCCCATCGGAAAACCACTTCTTATCACCCACAAACGAACAGCTTAACAGAACCCCCTAACAAGACTATTGCCAACATGTTGAGTATGTACATTGACGTGAATCACAAGAACTGGGACGACATTTTACCGTACATCTTTTTTGGCTATAATACAGCGCAGCAAGAAACTACTCGAAGAACGCCGTTTAGTCTCCTTCATGGCCGTGAAGTGACGACGATGCTTGACGCCATGTTACTGCACGACTGCAATGACATCAATTTGGACGCTGTATCTTTTACCCAACGAGCAGAAGAAGCGAGGCAGCTTGCACGCGACTGAGTCCCCCAGCAGCAAAATTACGACGCCCAACGTTATAATCTGCGACACCGACATGTCGTCTATCGGGCCGGCGAGAAAGCGTGGGCATGGAGTCCTATCCACCGTCGGGGACTGTCTGAAAAATTGCTGAAGAGGTATTTTGGCCCCTACACAGTCGTACAACGTCTGAGTGACATTAATTACATGGTCGTTACTGACAGCCCCTCAACAACTCGCCAGCAAAAACCAGAAATCATGCACGTTGTGCGAATGAAGCCCTATTGTTCGGACTGATTTGCACCATACATCTACTGCACTGTCTTTTGCAGAAAAGCATCGGGATGCTGCTCTCTGGAGGGGGACAAATGCCGCATTGAATATGCAGCACCAAGTGAACAACGAAGAGCATGCGAAGCGGGAGAGAAAGACGAGGTTCTCATCCGATCAGTTTGCCAGTGTTCTGGTACAATTAAAGCATATTCAACTGCTGCTGTTTCTGCATTGTGACAATATTCACCTATGGCAGCCACTCACAAAACTATTAAATATGGATACTTTGCCTATCTAGGCTTAGAAGCAATGAAATGATAAAAAAAAGTGTTAGCATGTAAAACAACATCACAGGTTTAATTTAATTATTGTTTTACCAGCATGTCTGCACTAGTGTCAAGAAGTTAACCTCTAGCTGTGCTACCTTTGACATGGAGAAACTCAGTTTCTCTTATCTGGGGTCATAATGAAGCCAAACAATAATGACAACTGATTAAAGCATAAGGAAGATTACTTCTTTATACTTAAACAAAATGAAGAAATTGTAAAGAAAGGAAATGAAAATGGGCAAAAAAAATATAGCCTCAAGAGTGCTTCAAACCCCTATCTTTGCATTTCATGCTTTTTTTACCACCCACCATGACTTTTTTTTTATTTTAATTAAGTGAAATGCAGTGATTTTCTGTAAGCTTTGCTTGGTTCTCACTCTCTGTTGCCTGCATTGCGACTGCAAAAAACAGAAACTGAGCTTCTCAGTTCTTTATGTGGTCTCAGTTCTGGCACCTTTGTTGCTTTTTAGGTAGAAGAGGGTGTGTTCACCAATGTTATCCAAGCAGCTCATGTGCTAAGCGATGCCTGTGGTTAACATGCTTCACATGAACCTCCATATCCGTGACTGGTGGCACTAGTTAACACAACCTGGGTCAGTTGTGGCATACCAAAGCACGTACAAATACACCAAAAATGGTGCTGTGGTACCTCAACAGCAAAAGCATCGAGCACAAAATCTGAAGTTACAGTCTCGTATTTTACCTGTGGCCAGTTCTTGGCTTATTTACAATTAATTATTCACTAAGTTTTGTTTACCACTAATTCAGTGAAATAAAGTAATTAGAGCATCTTGCAATACAAAAGCTCACAAGTTGCCACAATTGTTTCATGCACACCTACAACTTGCTTTCAAATGTCTTTTCAGAAAACGAAAAGATGCAGCTGTCCACTGTGCAAGTTCCAAGCCAAGGTGTTTTCAATGCAGCATTTCAAGGCTGATGCATCATTCTTAAGTGGACTTTGATGAGCAACTACACTGGGAAAGGCTCCTGTTTTAATGTTCAAGCCACAATAAGAAGTGCAACTGGTCTAACCATTTGTGTAACTGGTCTGTAGAGAGCTGCACAACAATACCAACATGTACACGAGTATGAAATGCCAATTTTGGTGACGCCTGCTGTGGCTACAGCTTTCTGCTTTGAAGTGTTTCACTCCCAGCTTCACAAGTGTTTGTTGCATCATGCAGCGTATTATAAAAAATTAATACGCTCCATCATGGCACTGTAAATTTTCATGTGTACCGAAAATGAGAAATAAAAACGTGCCCAAGACTCCACATGGAAAAAAAAATTAATTTACGCACCCCAGTCACTGCTAAATTATGAGCCAAGGCTAGGAATCGGTTGTTTTTGTCTAAATTCAATTGCAGATGCTTGAAAGTAAACACTAAGAGCATTTAATAAACTTCAACACAATCCTAATTATGGTCTGGATAAACGACTCAACTTCGCGCCAAATTCACAACTACACAAAGGAAGAAAAAAGAAAAACACATATACACCACTGGCGCTCACTTAAAACTGTTTATTCCTTGAGGAAAGAGGCTGATATACACGCACTTCTCGTGACTATTTTATCCGGACATGTACCAACCAACCCAGCAACGAGTTCTACTAGACTAATCGTCATGCATTGATGAAGCGTTCTCATCACTCACTGGAAGAAGCACTACGGTCCAGCACTAAAGTTGTGCATATTTAATGCAGTTCTGCAGCTATTTTGACTTGCCGCTCTCAAGTAAGTCCTTCGCTTCGTTGATTTTAGCAGCCAGGTAAGGAGAGCCTCCACGGTCTGGATGGTTCAGCAGCATGATCCTCTTGTGTGCATCTTTCAGCTTCGATTTGCTTGCGGAAGGGCTCACACCAAGGATGAGGCCAGCTTCTCGCTTGCTCATTTTCGTTTCAAACCCGCCCTTGTAGTATTTCGAACCGGCAAAGGATTCGGCGGTGGGCAAATTCTTCAAGCTTTCTTGCAAAGTTTTCGACCATGCTCTGGATGAGCGTAGCAGCGCACGCCCTGTAAATCCCACAGCGGCAAGAGCTAGGCCAGCAACTATTACGCTCGAAGACATGGCTTTAACCGAAAATACAACCTCACGGAGCAATACAACCTCACTGCAAGCACACGCGAGGGTACCTGTTTAAATCGTGGTCCAAGTTACGTCCGAGACATCTTGCAGCATGTCTTACATCATTACGCCATCACTCGAAAACCCATGGCGCCCATGGAGGAAGGATAAAAAAAAAACTTCCTTCGCACAAAAACCACTAAAAACAATAAAAAACACGGTGGTTATGACCACAACTTGCAAAACCTTGAAAATTAAAAAAAAGCGTAATTTCTGTATGATTATGCTTAAAGTATAAAATAAAAAACGTTTTTGCACAATTCTTGTTACAGTTTAGTCACAACCACAGAACCATGCACAGCTGAACAGTCTAGAACAGTCACAACTCACAACCATGACCTACTACACTCCTGACCTGCCCAGAGAGCACCTCTTCCAGCGCCCACGTTCTAGTTCATACCTTCTGCCGCTAGGGCCGTCACCTACGAGCGGCGTGGCGCTAGGCAGCACCTGTTCGCTGTCGTCTGCTTCAGCCATCGCTGTGGCAGTGCAAATCGTTCTTATTGTGCATGAATTGTGTATGAATGTGTAAAATATGGCAAATAAAGCGATATGATTCCTCGTCAGAGTTGGCTGCATTCGTGTGGACGTTTGAAGCAGAAATAGAACCGTAAAAAAAGCACACAAAGGGTCACAGTGGCAAGCAGACGGGAACTTTTCTACAAATGAAGGAAAATTTATTATGAAAATATTTCTTGAATGAAAACGTAGTCCAACGAGATAAAAAAACTATTGTTAGGCATTCATTGTTCACACTGAATCACGATGGTTCCAGACGATACGCATACACAAATTGCAGAAGATAGAAGCATTTGCGCCATTGGCCATTTCCAAAAAGAGGCCGATGGCACTTTTTGTGCAAACTGTGCTACCTGCAGTGGCCTTGAACCCTCTTTTCAGCCATAAAGGCGCTACTAGCGAGCACCGAGAAGCCATGGCGCGGCTAGTGTTGCAAAAATTTAGCCGTCCTTTCTTCTCAAACTACGTGCGGGACAAAACAGCCAAAGAAGGAAAGAGAAAGAGAATAGCCGAAAAGCCAAAATCTCGCAAGATTTTAAAAGTTTAGTTGCATGCCTCCATTGTATCATGTACGCGCCCAGAACCTTGCTAGCACATTTTATTGAACTATGACCCAAATGCACGCAGCTCTGTACGCGTACATATGTTTTTCTTTATTGCAGACACAAGCCGTCACTGTGTGCCAGCAAGTAGGATATTCTTCGAAAGTGCAGAAACTTTGTTTGAAACATCAGCTTTAACTGGCATATTGTGGCACGCATAAGTAAAGCGACAAATGTGTTTTGTTTCATTTTGAAGTGCTGTAACATTGCTCGAATCACACGCATACACTCGCCAAATTCTTTTAGCAGAAACCTTGATATCACTTTGAGGGATCTGCTTTTCATTGACAAACGAGTATAATGGCACATTTTCAGCATGTGTACGCGCCCCAACTGCGGGTGTCGCCCTTGGGCGCTATCAATCAAACATAACCACTAGTACAACAAAGGCGGTACTATTCCGCCCTAAAAATAAGTCTGTTAATGAAAACATACATTTCAAGTATGGCGATACTATTATTGAGTTAGTAAATTGTATAAAAATTCTTGGAGTTACATTTTCGAGCAATATGCTTTGAAACGATCGCATTTACAGTGTGCTGGGTCAGTTATCTCGCGTAGAGGGCACGGTGTACAGTGGCAAAACTGTTCTACTATACAAGGTAAAATTCTTACTTTATAAATGACTGTTCTGTTGGCATCTTGCTTATTGTTTCTTGGTATGAAGGACTACGACTAACACGCGCTTACAAAAACTGTACCTGATGCAAAAGACGTATATTAGAATAATTTTTTACTGGTCGTATGATGCTCGCAGAAGTGAATTGTTTCAACAGGCTGGAATACCACCCCTACATCGTCTCTACGATTTTAAGTTAGCATTGGTGGTCAGGCGTCAATTTCAAGAAAGTCGACATTATTTGTACGACCTCTCGAAACTGCAGCCAAATAATTTGTTCGAAACATGACATAAAGAAACATGGAAAATAAAAACTTCGAGAACAAACTACTCCACAGATAGGTTGTTCTACACAGTTTCTACGTTAATTGATAAATATGTGAAAGCTGGCATAGATTTCTTACTCTGTACCCGAACTCAATTGCACGATATACACATGTATAGTTTTCAAGATTTCTTTGCAGTTGCTACATTGTTATCATGGTTGCTATTTTTATTTTTAGAATTTGAACTTGATATTTTTGTAATTGTTGCTTAGATAACATTGCTAACTGTTTGCCAGTGCTGTCGTGCTAAAGGCGTCTGTGGGCCTATGTCAAGCTGCCTCTTTCGAAGAGCAGCTTTTACCTGCCGCTGTCCTTCATCAAACTATTGATGAAAAATAAAACATTATTATTATTATTATTATTATTATTATTATTATTATTATTATTATTAACTATGCTCGACAAGATGATGATAATGATGACGATAAAAACTTTATTGGGGTCGCAATGTGTTGCCCTCGATAGGCACATCACTGCCTTTACCATATCGTCTCATCGCACGGACATATAAAATCATAGAAACGCGCATCGGCCAGCGCTCCCCGTTCCAGCAGACAAACTCCCGTAGCGAAATTTGACGCACAATTTTTGTTGTGTAGGTCACAGTAAGAGTTAAAGCTTCAATTCCTGTGTCTCTCCTTGATATGCGTCCGTGGGCGTATGTGCATTATTCTCTTCTATCAATTGACTACAAGTGTAACACCTGTCCAGGGCGAGTGTCCAAGGTAAGTGCTCAACAGGGGCACTGCGTTTCACCTGACGCGTCCTAAACAACCTAAAATCAGTTTGATATTCTATTACCAATGAGTACATTATTAGTCAAAAGCTTTATGAATACTAAATTGAAGTTTTTTTAGGCTGGAATGGCAAAAACAACCATGCAGCAAGACATTTCTACGCAAATATACAGCTTTAGAAGTCAATCAACCAGTATAGCCTAACTACTAAAATGTAACACATAGCACACGTTAGCCTTTTCAGCAAAAAACAATCACACGTATAGGCAGTTTGTCACAGAAGCAGACGCATGGTATCAGTCCGTCGCCCTCCTGCCGGCCGCACAGTAGCAGACGAACAGGTTATAGGTAGCGCCACCTACGGCGAGCGATTGAACGAGAGCGGGGACACGCGCTCCCATAGGAACCCCGCTATCTGAACAGGTCAGGAGTGTAGTAGGTCATGCTCACAACTATCATCATCGCTTGGCGTGGCTCGTGATGGCTCGCGGCAGTGCTCGTGGACCCGTGGGCGCGCGAAAGCTGGTTGACTACGCTGCGCAAGCGCAGAAGCCAATCGAACGAGCGAAACGGTTGGTGCGGGCGCATTTGAAGCCCTCAAGAGGCGCCGGTCGCGACTTGAGTGCTGCAGTCGGCGCGAACCGTTTTCGCTGACGACCAAAATGCATGTGTTTTAACATGCTTTCTCGGAGGCGGTCTTTCTGAAAGGCCTGCAGGTTGTACCTTGAGCAGCAATAACTCGCTGACATCGCCACCCCTTGCATTGTACAGTCATGGCTTCGGCTGGTGAAACAGACGGCGACGATAAGTCCTCGCAGTTCAAGTTCCACAAGTCTGAAGGTAAGTGATATATAGACGATGTGACAAGGTCACGACAAGTGTTGCAGAAGTACTGAGGCGTTTTCTCTTTCTTCTCTTTTTGTAGAGCGCTAGCTGTACGTTGTTTTTCGTCGCGTACACTATTCGACTAGCATGCGATGTCGCATTGCACTGGCTTTGCCAGTTCAGTGTGACATCGCATGCTAGTTGAGCTACCATTACGTTACAGTCTCCTCTGCCAGGTCACGAGGGAAACGAAAATCAGTGCATGAACTACGTGCTAAGCAACGCGGCTTTATTTAATATATTTTGGCCGTTTCACGAGGACCGCAAAGGCGACAACAGTCTCTTCCGTTTGACTGCACATGAGGCAGCTATGGCTGTTGCGGTTGCAGGATCAGTTGAAGTGAGATACCGACACTAGGCTCTGTACGGTTATTTTCAAAATTAGCTGAACAGTGTAGGCATTGTGTGCCCTTCGAGCGTCTAGCACATTATGGTCGTAGCTTTCGAGGGAGCATTATTTCTCATGGCGCCATAGGGTTTTCCGTCTGTTTCCTCGAAGTGACAACTCGTGGTTTGAGCACTCGGTGTGGCTACGGTTACGCCCAGACGTAACTATAGCCGCCACAACCAATGCTAGTGCTACGTCTAGCTTTACGTCTTCTGCCTAGTTACGTCCACTGTGCAATGCTTCTTTCGTGGTTACGTCCAATGCACAGACGAAAATAACTCTTTTTTTTTTTGCTTCTGCTGTCCCTGAGCAAGTTCTGGTTGGTCTTGCAAACGCGGGCGAAGTCGCCTTGCCGTCGGTGTGAAAAGCAAGGGTTCACTAAATCTATGTTTAACTAGACTGTTAATAATACCTAGCCACAGTAACTGTTACGTTTAGCACCGCCGCTTACTGAATTAATCTATTGGGTACTAGCGTGACCATAATATGCCCATGCGTATCCTTACGGAGTCTTTCAATTTATTAAGGTTTGAAAAACCGCGCCAGAAATATGCCTTGGGATAGCTTAGGGTACCCCTTACCAACACCATGTGGCAGAAGTTTACTATGTCTATTGAGGAGCTGCTCTGTTGCGAAATCGCGATTCTATGTTTTAGCTCGTTGGAATGCAGTGCTTCTTCGTGTGAGCAGATTTCTTTGTAGTATTACTTTCTGCAGTAGCGTGATGCACATGTCCCTGTATAGTATTTGTACGATGCGATCTCCAGTGAAAATGTGAAATAGATTAACCGGTGTTCTGCTCGGAAACAAGCGTGGTCTACATGTTGCCACCACTATCACGCCAGGCTTTAAGGCTTCGTTTTACACTCTTTGTTGGGCGATTTTGGTATACTCATGTGCCAATTTATTGTATGCCCAGGTTTATCCTAAATGAAATAGCTAGAATAGTCGAAGAGGACAATAAAAAATGTCTGCTATCTGCAATAGACTATCGGAGGCTGCCACTGACTGAGACGAGGATTTCGCGTATAAGGATTCCAGTAGTCTCATAGACAACCCAATTATTATATATAATAACTGCTGAAGTTTAACATGCAAAACCATGATATGACTGAGGGACGAAGCAGTGGAGTACTTGAGGAATTTTGACTATCTGACTTTCTGTTCGCCTAGATGGCAGTCAACCTAAGTAGTAGGCAGCTTAGAGCAGGTGCTAAGATGGCGCTTATAGCGGTTTTTGCATTGCTGGATGGTACTGTAATGAAAATGAAGCAGAGTATGAAGGACAATGTGATGGATCGCCAAGGAGCTCCTCGGGTGTAGGAAATAAAAGCCCTTATGCGAAGTTATCTTCACATGCACAGGAGATCAAAGTGTGTCATCTTAGTGCCCTTACCCAATTTAGCTGCTTCACGAGAGGCACTGATTAGATGGATGTATACGTAGGAGCCTACCAGGCTGCAACTTGTTGCAAGAAATGGTTGTAAGCGATGTTCACGATGTTCGACGTAGGCATAAGCAATGTGTGGTGCTTCTTCACAACACACGATTAGTGACTCGACTTGAATTCCTGAGGCAACTCGCTCAAAGTTAACTGAAAAGTTGGGATAACAAGTTTGAAGGAAAACTGGATGTTGAAGAATGTCAATGCTTGTTGACAGTGTGCCTCGTGGTCCACATTTTGAATGAAAAAAAACGCTTCACCTTGTTGAAACTATCTCACGGCAAATAGCACAGGTGTGCTGTAGGTCAGATCAACAGCACTGTTTTCATATAGTGCAGTAAATGTGAAGGCATGTGCATTGTGTTCTCCATACCATTTCACATTAAGTCCCCGGCAAGTCCTTAATTTTATTTTTCATGATGTGTCAAGGCCTGAAATACTCGGCCTAAGGGCCCAGCGTGAGCATAAAAAAGAAACCGGTGCCTAAAGGTCCAAGCAGTAATGCGTTCAGTTTCACTGTCGTATCGCCAGTTCACGGACATCACTTGTGCGTTGAAACATGTGTGGTTTGTTTTGTCAGACTGTTTCACGTATTGGCAAAAAGAGTACAGATCCTGTAACGACGCAGGTTGGGGCGTCCGCCGCTGCCACTGAGGCGATTTTCTTTATGAAAAAATATAAGCGGCACTATTGGAGAATTGATGATAATGTTAAGAGTGCTCAAAGAAAAGAGAAAAAGAACACCTGCAACAAAGTTTGAACCAAGGTTCTCCTTGTGCCAAGCACGACATGCTAGGCCACTGGCAGTAACTTTTAAGGGTCTTGACGTAGCTAAACGTAACTTCAACAGCTGCTATCTTTACGTCTGATATAACGCCAAACACTCTGTTGAGCATTTGGATTTGTATTTCGGAGTAGTCTCATTAAAGACATTAGATTTCCTGGGATTACAATGTCAGCACAGGACTTGTAAGTGTGAGGAGAATGAATTTTATTGTTTCTCGCTGCTTGTGTCTCGAAAGTTTTACTATGGCTGAAAGTGCACAAGGTGGAGTTTTGCAGCAGTAGTGCTTGCATCGTCGTGTACTCGCCTGTTTGTTGATTCGCAGCTGAGCACAAACTTGAAATGCCAACCATCTGCAGAAGTACCTTTAAAATTTGGGTGCATTTTTTTGGGAACAAGTTCTGGTTGGCATGGGCAAAAGACAAGGCACATGATGAGAGTTGTTTGCTATATGCGTACTGTTATGGCCAGGGCATCAGAACAAAATTAGTGTCATTCCACAACAAGAAGTTGCTTTCCATTTATTGGAATGAAAAAAAAAAGATGTTTCGTAACTGTTCGTAATATTATTTATTTTTGTATGCAAAAATTTGAAGTTGGGTTAATGATGAAAACATTTGATTTGTCGTGTATTGAGGACACCTTCCCGTGCACATTGTGAAGAGGAGCACTACTAACTGTACCATGAATTTCTACAAATTTGTGTAAACCAGTGCCCTTCGATGTTATAGAAGTGAATTACGAATTTTTTTTTAGCGGGCATATTACTTTGAATCGGAGTGAGCATGATCGCGGAAGCAGCCAGTCATTGAGCTTATCTCTCGTACGCGAGACTGCTGTTCATATGCCCTCTCTACGCTGGCATGTGTCACAGGCTCATGAATATAATAGTAGTTAGGGTTTAATGTCCGAAAACTATCATATGGTTATGAGATGGCATTGTGGACAGCTGTGGAAATTTCGAGCACTTGGGGTTCTTTAGTGTGCACCTAAATCTAAGCACAGGGGCCTCTAGCATTTTTGCCTCAATCGAAAACGCAGCCGCCGCAGCCAGGATTTCATTCTGCGACCTGCGGGTCAGCAGTAGAGTGTCTTAGCCACTACACCACGGTGGTTGGTTCAGGCACGTGAAAGTACTTGCGTTAATATAAAAACCTATGGTTCCCACTGTTTGTTTTCACACAATTTCAACACATTCTTACTTTGGAATTCTTGTCTGCAATGCATGCTAGTGCGGTGTATTGTGCATTATTGCTCACGTTGCCAGACCTCGTTGTTCTGAGTGACCAAGTTTCCGCATGAACTGAAAAATGATAAATTTTGGCTTCGCTCTGGAACGAAATATTGGATAACATTTCGGTTATACCCAGTCCGAAGTACCGTTTCTTGTTTTCGGTTTTAATCCGTTCCAATACACTGGTTACGCCTGAATGATTTTACTTGCCTGCCACCTAATAGATGTTTCCATTGCAGGCAGCATGATAAAATCGTGCAGAAATCATCGACAACAATAGTCAATGTGAATAAATAGCAAAGTGCTTTTAATGTGCACTTGATGGCGTTTCCTTGTGGATGTGTGTGGGGGGGGGGGGGGGGGGGGGTAAGAATATTTCACTGCTACGTTCTCGGAGTGCAGCACATATGTAGGTGAATAGTAGGGGGTGATATGCATACGTTCATAGACTTGCTCCTCTTTTTGTCTACAAGTGCATCTACTTAAGTGTTTTCTCACTACAACTGCAAGAGTAGCTGGATGCAAGACACTCCTAAATTCTCCTCCAGGCCATCTGAGCCCTAAGGCACCATAAGCTCTTAGCTCTTGCGCAACAGCGCATGCATAAAAGAAGAGTTGCCTGTATTCATTAAGAAGCCCCGCAACATATGCAAGAGCATGCATCTTTTTTATCAGAGAAGCAGAATACTTTAAAACACTTGGCAGAATGCTTCATCGACACAAATTCACTAGCTGGATGAAATTGTCTGCTTCAAACTTGACTGCACCTCTTCAAGCAGGTGCAGGCCAGTGATGAACTAGGTGATAAATTTTCTTGCACTAAGGAAACAAAAAAAAAGTTGAGTCAGAGAAACTAATACATTAGTGCTGTACTTCCTGAAGCAGTAAGTACAGCTATTTTATATAGTCTTAAAGCTGAAACTGGGACTGATCCAACCTTGCCGCGGAGGCATTGGTATGCTGTTGATTTTGTACATCTCCCACATTATCTTGAGCATGTTCCAGGTGCTCCTGAGCCTTGTGTTTGCTGAGCCCGGAGTATGGCACCAGAATTCAGCTGCTCTAGTCAGAATAGAATATCTGTCCATAATTTTGAGTAGCATCTGATTAGCAGCTTCTGTAGAGTGATAGCAGCTAAAGTGACAATTGAAAGGCCCCATAGTCTTAATCGTATGAGTGATTTTTTTTATTTATTGGAGCCTCTAAACGATTTGCATTATCACTTGCTTTATTTTCTCTGTGATGATGGCCCATACGTAGCAGGGAAGCTTAGTCTAGTTCTTGCAAATGAAATGAGTTTCTCTCCTGTCTACAGTTAGCCACATTATCTTGAGCACCCTGTACAAGGCGACTGTCATGATACATTATGGGCAGAGATTGTTATGGCTACTGTGGTAATATTAGTTCTTTAAAGAGTTTTTTTAATAAAACATGTCCTTTTAAACTGTTTCAGGCAAGAAGCTTCTGAAGCAAGGGAATGTCCAGGGAGCTCTACAGGCTTTCGAAAGAGCTGCCGAGCATCAGGCCGATGACCGCCTCCAGGCTAAGATAGAGAAGATGCGAGAGTTTTTGAAAAGTGAGCAAGCCCAAGAAGCTAGTGATAGTGACATGGTTGAAATCGGCAATGGTTTCTACCTGTGTCAAGCCATCGAGCGAAGACTTTATACTTACCAGAGGACCGGCTTGCTATGGATGTGGGACCTGTACCTCAAGAAACGTGGGGGTGTGCTTGGTGACGACATGGGCTTAGGCAAAACTATTCAAGTCATCGCCTTCCTTTCAGGCATGTTTGACAGTGAAATGATTAAGAGTGTCTTGATCATTATGCCTGTATCTCTAATTGCCAACTGGAAGAAAGAATTTGAAGGCTGGGCACCAGGCATTGATGTTTACGAGTACCACTCTGGGTCGAAAAAAGAAAGGGAGAGAAACCTGGCAAGGGTGCAGCGCCGTGGCGGCGTCCTCTTGACAAGCTATGGCTTGGCACAAACAAGCCATCAAGAATTTTGTAACAGGAATGGCGAACAATTTGTTTGGTGTTACCTGATTCTTGATGAAGGCCACAAAATCAAAAACCAAACTAAAACAACAAAAGCCATCTACGAGATTCCAGCTAAGCAGAGACTTGTACTTACAGGTACAGCTGTTCAGAACAATCTCCAAGAGCTATGGGCTCTATTCAACTTTACACACCAAGGTGCACTTGTCGGCTCATTGGCAACATTTAAGCGCCAGTATGAGACCCCTATCAATAGGGGACGTGAAAAGGATGCCACCACAGGAGAGAATCTTTTGGGCAAGGAGATAGCGAGGCAGCTGCGTCGTTTGATAAAGCCATACTTTTTGCGGAGAACAAAGACAGAAACACCGAAAAAAAAAAAGAACAGTAAAGATGACAAAGCCAAGCTAACCTTCTCTTCAAAGAAGAATGACCTTGTGATTTGGATATACCTGTCTAGTCTACAGAAGAAAATATATCGAGAGTTTCTGGAGTCTGATGAAGTAGCCAATATCCTCATGACTAAGAAATCTCCCCTTGTGCAGCTGACTGTGCTGAAAAAAATTTGTGATCATCCAAGGCTTCTTTCAAAGCGAGCATGTGTTCAAATGGGAATGTATGACCACATGACAAGAGAAGAAATTGAAGAACTTCTCGAAAAGGAAGAAGGAAAGAAGATTTCAATTGAAGATGTAACAGACAATGTTCTCCTTGAAGAATCTGGAAAGATGACATTTGTTTTGCAACTTCTGACAATTCTCAAAGCTGAAGGTCACCGCACACTATTTTTCTCGCAGTCAAGAAAGATTTTGGATATTGTTAGTCGAATTCTCACCAACAGGAGCTTCAGAGTTGCTCGTCTTGATGGTACAATCAACAAAATGTGCGAGCGTGATCGCATAGTCTCGCAGTTTCAAGCCAAGGACAGTGCTGATGTGTTTCTTCTTACCACTCAGGTTGGAGGTGTTGGGCTCACTTTGACTGCTGCTGACAGGGTCATTATCTACGATCCTTCCTGGAACCCAGCAACAGATGCTCAAGCTGTTGACCGTGCATATCGCATAGGACAGCAAAAAAATGTCGTGGTGTATCGTTTGATAACATGCAGCACAGTTGAGGAGAAGATTTATCGGCGTCAGATATTCAAGGACTCTATCATAAAGCAAACGACTGGAAAGCAAAATGACCCCATGCGCTACTTCACAAAACAAGAGCTGAGGGAGCTTTTCAGTCTTGAAAACCCTAACTACTCTGGTACGCAGGTCCAGCTTTCTCAAATGCACTCCTGGGACAAAAACTCGGACCCTGCTCTTAATGATCACATTGCTCTTTTGCAAACAAAGAACATCTTTGGTATCAGTCATCATGACCTCATGTTTTCTGAAGAATCCCGGGAAGCTGCGAAAGATGAATTTGTGCCTGGAGAAATAGAGCGTGTAAAGGAGCGTGCCAGGATGGCTCAACATCTGATCACAGTAGAGAGTGATATGGCATTAGACGAGATTCAAAACAAGAAGTACTTTACTGTGCCAGTGAACAACGTCACGAAACTACGACCAGTAGAGCACCCAGCATGGTTGCCCAAGCCAAATGTGTTGCTTAGTGACAATGAGGCCCTAGATAAAGGTATGTCATCCAAGTGGAACAAGGCTTTGGTGGTGCCTGATGATGATGACTATAATCTTGGTGAGAACAAGGCCCAAGATGAAGGTATGTCATCTAAGTGGAACAAGGCTTTGGTGGTGCCTGATGATGATGACGATAATCTTGGTGAGAACAAGGCCCAAGACGAAGGTATGTCATCCAAGTGGAACAAGGCTTTGGTGGTGCCTGATGATGATCACAATGATCTTGGTGACAACAAGGCCCAAGATGAAGGTATGTCATCCAAGTGGAACAAGGCTTTGGTGGTGCCCGATGATGACGATGATGTCCTTATTGATGGTGTCGACTCTCTTAATAAGTCACTGGCTTGCATGACAGTTCAGGCTTCTGAAAACAAAGTTAGCATTTTAGTTAATGACTCTGAGGAAGAGCTCTTTCCATCTGGTGAAGATCTGGACACAGATGAGGACATGAGGATTATTTTAGACACAGATGAGGAGTTTTCAGATGCTCCTGAAGAAGTGGACAGCAATGAAAGTTTCAAGATGAATAAGCAAGCTCCTTTAAGTACAGCTGACGAGAGGGTTCTTGCGAAGACTGATGGTCAGGTTGAAAATAATGCAGGGTGTGATGTGCAAATTGTGAATGTGGAAGAGTCAAATGTGGAACTGCTAGTCAAGGATGAACATCTAATGGCAGAGGGTTCGTTTGAAGAACTGCATGTGTCACCGAATTTGAAGCTCTCAGTGCAGGACAAGCACAACACAAGAGAACAAAGAAAGTTGCCTTCTCTTTTAGGACTGGAGGAAGGCTTTCTCTCTCGCAAGGCAACTCAAGATTGTTCCGACAAAGTTGCTCAAAAGTCGGCATGTGAAGAGGTTAACAAGGACGCCATTGGCCAGTCTTTGCACACTACTGAACAAGGAAAGAGGCCTGTAAAAAAGCGTTTGCTGCGTTCTCCTAATCAGTCATTATTATTCCAGACAGAGGCAAAACACTTGCAGCTTTCTCCCTCTGTCCTGCAGAAGGAAGGAAACGGTAACACTAGAGCTTCACCAAGAGGTCTCGGTGAGCTGCAGAATATTTTGCCTAGAACGGCAGCAAGCAGTCCTTCATGTCCTGCAAGGGCATCTTTCAGCCAGCCTAGGTTCCACAGTACGCCATTGTCTACTCCTCCAAAGCGAATCGCACCATTTTTTGTAGGCTCGCCACTGCAATTTTTGCCATCACAATGCCAAAAGATGCCACCGAGTCCCTTTCAGGAGGCCCTTGCTAAGTCTGTAGAATATGCTGAAGTGGATGTGACACCGCTGAAAGTGCAACAAGCTTCAGCCTCTCACTCAAGGCAAACATCTGTTCATGTGGTGTCGTCATCGGAAAGTGAAGAGGATGCCAGCAAGTCAAGTTCCGATGATGAAGTGGTGGTTCGCAGGCGCTTAACAAAAGCATTCGTGATCATGGACAGTGATGAATCTCCTTGAATACACTAAAAATTTGCAGTTGCCTTTGCTGGCTTTAAGCTCCCCATTTGCAAAATGTGTAAATACACAAAATTGTTTCCTGCCATGTTTCTGTCAAATTATGACCGTGCTTGTAGTAGCAGTGTTAAAAAAAAAAAGCACTGCAACTTGAGACACCTATATCACAAATGCTTGTAATGAACATATGTATAGTCAGTACTGTTCCAAAAATGTAGGTAGCTAATTCCTTTGTGTATTTTCTGTAACTGCTGTAAGAGGCATTTTATCAAAAGCGCCTGTCCCACATTAGTCTCGTTCGTTCCTTGCTGGAATGGAAAGAAAATTAATACAGCTATAGACGAGGGGACCAGTAAATGCTGCAGTTTTTCCCCCAATTTGTTTCCTTGGTATCTCAATTATTCATTGTATCATAACCACTTTGCATAAGCTAGATAAGTATTTTATGTTGTGCATAGTATATTTTACATTTTTTCTTGTTTGTATTTTATGTAGTGACAAGTGTTATGTAGCACTTGCATAAATGGTCACATTTTATATTGCATTTTATTTATAAAAGGTTGCAAGTTCTTTACTATAAGGGAAGTCTGTTTATGTTGCTTAAAGCTGCATAAAAAGTGCATATTTGTTGTGTAGCTTTTTCTCTCTAGTTTCTTGACTTGTACTCAAGGACTCTGTATTAAAATAGATTGCTCTAAGTGTTATGCTTAGTCTCGTTAGAAGCATTCCTTACTACAAAAATGTGCTCGTCTGATTTGGTTCTTCGTCTCCATCTGTCTTAGTTTTATTAGACACTCCATGTCAAAAATTTACGACACTAGAACTTGTTGGCTTACTACTTCATTATTTTGGCAGTAATTAAAAAAAATATTGGCTCAAATGGCATATTGTATCATGCTTCCAGCAGTGGCACTAAGTTTCAATAAATCGTTATAACCGTGAAAAAATGTTAGTGCTTATGACATAAACTAGATAATGACAGAAAAAAAGAGCCTATAAACACTGCTGGCTGCGTCCTAATAATGCTCTAGTTTGAGAGGAAGAGACTTCATGCACTACCGTAACTAACAAAAGTTGTCCACAAAGAATATTTTCATGCTAATGAAGGCTTGCGAGAACAGGCACGCAGGTGTGTGCAATCCTCCCACACCCATATGAATCGATGACATGTGTAATAACAGTTGGGACAGCCATATCGGCTTTTATGTTTTTTAAGGAGACTGACAACTCGCCAGAGCATGCAATTAGACTGTGGTGGAAATGAAAAGACCATGAGTTTTAGTGAGATTCAAGCAATTTTTTTTTTTGCAAGCTAAGCAGGATTTTTTTTTTAATGTTCTAAAACTAACGAGAGCTTATAAAGTCAATGGCTTTGCTGTGCATAATCACTCTGATGCTGTCAAGTGCACCATAGTTACTCCTCAAAATTAGAGTACGGAAATCATTGTCTAGCCCCGCCCAAGTCTGTGCTGCTTACGAGGTAAATGGATCTACACGGTGAGAAGCGATGCTGCCTTCAAGATGGCCAATGGACCACGTCGAGCCGGGTCGCATGTGCGGTAAACCACCGCACTTGAACACTAAATACTACCCACAGGTCGAGGATAGAATCTCGGCTGCTGCGGCTGCATTTTCGATAGAGGCAAAAATGCTGTGGGCTCGTGTGCTCAGATTTTGGCGCAAGTTAAAGAACCCCAGGTGGTCGAAATTTCCGGAGCCCTCACTACGGCGGCTTTCATAATCGTATGGTGGTTTTGGGACATTAAACCCCACATATCGATCAAATTGAACACTACATGCTCTCTCGCTCACTGTTTCAAGCATGTGTTGCCATGCGCGTAGTGACACTGAAAAATTCTGATAAATGTTTCACGGTAGTGTCAATTACCATTTCGTTATTTGACAATCACCGGTAAACTTTCCATTGTGCTGAAGAAAATTGGTACCATAAAAATTTGTTGTGTTTCTTTTTAAAGGGACACTATAGCAAAAAAACTTCTGTGCATTAGTAAGTTGCAAATTCACAGTACCAATAACGCCTCTTAGCGGGAGTAGACTCTTCAGAAGTGAGATAACGCAAAGAAAATCGGTGGAAACATCACCTTGAAATTTCCGCACCAAACACTGCGACATTATAGGTTTTGGTGGCGTCTCCCAAGTTGTATGTAGTTCTAGTCAGTAAAAATGATCTACCTACGTTGTACTGTGAGGGGTCGTAGGCATAATATAGTTTTACTTTTATTAGGCCAATTTCACCATAGTACTAAAATACTGTTTGAAATTTATAACATTGTACAGGGAGATTTTGGTCCGAAATTTGAAGGTGAAATGGAGAAGTTTCTCCTCTATTAAAAGCACAGAATGGCGACATAAGGACATAAAAGTTATCTGAGTAAATTCATTAACTTGTCTATTCAGTGTTCTGCTTTAGCGTCCCTTTAAAGGCACCCTGTGACACAATGCTTTCATTGGTTATTCTAGGTCTCTGGAGTACGGTGATGTAATGCTAGTAAAATTGACAAAGCAGTTATTTTATTTGAACACAAATGCCACTTTCTGTGACAATAGGTCGGCGAACTTGCTCATGAGTAGACTATCTCGGATTGAGCTGCGAGTCCTGGCCACTAACATGTTGATGTGTTCAAGTCTGGTTGAAGAAAATATTCATGTGCAAGTCTGAGTGAGCTCAATTCCAGAAAATTTTGTAGAGTCCAAGTCAAAGAGAGTCCAAAGCATAAGATTAAGTGATTCACTGCGTGTTCCACTTTTCCCAATCTATGGTCTAGCTTCAGCTCTAATATTAGTCTTACTTGGATTGATGGTTATATTTGCATCTACTTAGACATATTTCAAAGCAGTGTTATCCATACATTATTTAAATATTTATTGACTAGATGCGCAAGCTAAATGGGAGTGCTTTGACTTCCGCCCGCCAACTCGTATAGGGAAGTTATTGATGAATGTATCTCATGTTGTCTTCTCTTTCAAAAATAATTGTCTTACTGGTTTGCGAGCACTCGTAATTCATATTTGAAGGTACTATAAATATGCCAAGGAGAGCATTGATTACTTGAGATAGTGGTGTTAAAAAGCACTGACACCACGGTGGGAAAATCTAATTCTAGGCTAACGAACTTGTGAGTCCACTTGCTAGTACTCTGATCGGGCTGCGAGTTGGGTTGAAGAAAATTTTCATGAACATGAGTGTGGCTAAGGAAACTTTTGGCGAGTCTGAGCATAAGCGAGCCCTAAGAGCAAAACATTTTACGAGAGATTTTTGCCATCGGAAGTCTGTACGCTTGTTTTCAAGACTGATGCGAGTGACTGCACATGTTGACTGCCTTGACACACTAACATTCTTACGGTCCCAGCTACACCACACTGTCATGCCCTAGAAATTAAAAAAAAAAAACATTCTTTACACATTATCAGATGCAAAAGGACCTCCATTTTCAGATAGCCAATTGCCCTTGTGAGTGAAGAAATAGTCCTGCTCATACGTTACTCAATCTTCTCTAAAGGTGGGTCATCGACTGTTCAGCTCATTAATGTCAGTTTGGAGAGTGCAGCAATTTGTGCAAGCTTGTGTGCATCTGCCTTTGACGATGAAATGAAAAGTTTTTCAATTATAGTCGCACTGCGAAATGGCTTGCAATGGCAGTGTTCAAAGTGCTGCTCCAAACTGCTAGAAAAAAAATTCTGTTCCTTAGTGTTAGTAGAGTTTGTTAGTAACTGCTCTGAACCTGCTTCAAAATGGCATTGGGAAACTGAAAACAAGTAATTTGGACCGTGTGATCATCCAGCAAGTCTGAATGAAGCCAAAAACAAGCTTTATATGCTATCTTCCTAGTATGAAGGAGAAAGGGATTTTCGAGAGCTTATTTCTTTTTGTTAGTCACAATATGAATGAGAAGACACTAATGTCTATAATTCATTTATAGCGAGGGTCTTGTTTTGGTAGACACGGTGCTTTCAGGTAGTATGCGAGGGATGATTGGTCAGCTGCCAGCTCGTAATAAGATTATGTGCAACGTGAAACCAACAGTCAAAAAAAAGTGTTCCACACTTGCTGCCATGGCTACTGACAACTCTTGACTGACGTTCCCACGTTTAAATGCACATATATACTCCATAAAGTGGACGGTGAGATGGCTGTCGTGGTAGCTCAGTTGGTGGAGCATGGAACACGTTATTCAAAGGTTGCAGGTTCAGACCTGCCCACGGGAAGTTACCTTTTCATCCACTTTTCTTCACATTTACATTACATTTACTACTAACAATATCTGCTATACTTTGATTAAAATTATTGTCTGTTAGTTTTTGTTAATCTTTCTAGTATGTAGCTTGCTTATTGCTGCATACTAGCATATTGATGCCACATGTACTGGCACTATATATGTCTAATTTAGCTGTATATTTGTACCTGGCAAGCAGACTGCTTGATCAAAATGTGTGTCATATTAATTTGATACCGTCCTGATTACTAACTTCATCTGTGACGACCTTGATATGTGATTGAATACATTTAACAATTTTATCAGCTTTTATCTCATTTATACCGAAAGAACTGGCATTTTAAAGTGTGTTGCTCATTTAGCTGTTTTTTTTTTTCTTATTTTTGAAGGTGGATACTTTGGTGGAATACGAAAGTAGCACATTGCTGTGATTTTATTCCAATTATAAAGTGCTACTTTGGCGATAGTTACATGTGGTACTTTTATAATTTCATGCTCAACTTCATCGCTTTTATAACACATCTTCCTCAAGCACTTGTATTTTAAATATTTGTGGCTTATCTTGCTTAGTGTTCATGGACCATCCACGTGCTTAATTATTTGTTTCTTGTGATTTGATTTGATTATTGTATTAGCAATATGTTTATTAATAAGTATTATAGTTTATGAATATCTTTCCAACTTCTCCGAAAACACCAATACCTACTCCCAACTAGCATTTTTAACGCTCCAAAATCTGGTTCCAAAGTAAAATGTTGCTTTTATCACTGCAGTGCCTATCATTAGGTGAGACTTTCATTACATCTTTATAAGAGGCATGCAATAATTGAAAGCAACCAGCAACATCACTGGCAGACTGATGTGCAAGAAGCATTATCTCATCTTCTGCTCAGGCTTTGAACTTTACATGTGTGTTAGTACTGCTTTGGTGCACCACTTTTTACAATTTCATGTTCAGTGCTACGTACACTGCACAGGAGGCAGTAAAAGAAAAACTCTGAAAGGGCCCTTTAAGGCAATCTCATAAACTGTGTAGCAGAAAATCAACTGTGGGAAAATCTCTTATCCAACAACACATAAAACGCAATCATTTCTACTAGATTGTCGCCTGTTATACCATATTATGCGTTAAAATATGCCTTGTTATGTTGCGTGCAGCTTATCACTAGTGAAGAACATTATTTCTCAAGCTATGGTAGCAAATGGCACATCTGAAGCAAGCATACCTTTAATGCTCACAAATATCTGAAGTGCACCTAAACATATAAGTTTATCCTAAATGGACCTTTTACATTTTATCATTCCATCTGGATGGATGGATAGAATAAACTTTATTTTGTATCCGGCGTGTTAGTGGGCTGGGCTCCCGCCTAGGTGTCGGCTAGAAGGTCATGCCTCTTAGCGGCTTCCCCGGCCCGCTGGATTGCCCATAGCTGATCGTTCAGTGCTGAACTGAGCAGCACGACCAGCCAATGCGTGCCGAGGCTGTCGGTGGAGGTTGCGTTCTTATTACTGGGTTTTAATTCCTGGCATTCCCATAGTATATGTTTTAAGGAAGCTCGTGCCTGACAGCCTTTGCATTGAGCGGTCGCGTAGATCTCTGGATACATAGCATGTAGTAGCACTGGATTCCTATAGGATCTGG